GGCTATCCGTGGCTGCCCACATTTCATTTGACTTCATCTCTTACCAGCACACGGGCAAATTATGGTAACGCCCCCACCTCCAGCTTCCATTTTGTAGAAAGTTGTAGGGTTTAACCAATAGAAAAAAGTTCCTGAACACTGCACCTGAGATAGAAACTCCACCCTGTTCCACTCCCACTGAACAGCATCCTGAGCATCACCTCTGTAGATGCAGAGCACCAAAGAGGTGTCAGGGGACAGGAAATATCCCAGGTCCTGGGTCCACACTCATCTCTTCTGCAGGCACCGCCTGCAAATCTCCTCTGGTATCAGAACTTCTCTCAGCCCTCAGCCGCTGAGCACTGGTTCAGCTGGGCCTTTTCCTAAGGCTCTCTGTCTCAGCTGAGCCCAGGAACAATTACTTCCACCTGAACAAGGTTGTGCATGTGGCCTGGCTTCTCTCTTTACATCAGTCCTCCAAACCACCCTGGAGAGACCGGACTAACACCCTTCTAGGGCACCGTGCCATGGCAGACGCTACAATGTCTCAGGACAAACGGGTATCAACATTGGACCAGACTCATGCCCCTGCCTCCAGGAGATCAGCTCTCTGGGTTGACACAGGTATGAAACACAATTCTAACAGAATGTGATGAGTTCTACAGTTGACCTTTACCATAGGTAAGTATGGAGAACATGAGCCCATTGGGGATCACACACCAGGCTCTCTTCAGTATGTGATTCCTGAATCATACCAGAAAATGAGTAACTGTATGTCTATCCACTTCATCCTAATTTTTCATGGAGCATGGCAATGCGGGAAGCATTGTGAGATTAAACAGAGGTTGGTGAATTCAAGGAGATTAGGTCCACATTAGAGGCCATGGTCAGTTGACTTGTACATACCAGCAATGTCCTGGGAAGTGGGGCCTCCCACCGTGCGGGAAGCAACTCCTCCTTTTGGAAGATCAGGACTATGGTCTCCACAGAAGCTGTTCACTATTTCAAATTACACTTTTTAACCTGGCCTCACTTTCCTGGGTACTTTCCTAAGTTTCACAGCCAACTTCAAAACTGGAGGTTTTTACATTTTTGATTGCTGTTAACATTAGATGCGATGGCCCAGAATTTTAACAATTATGTTTCAACAAAATTATAGTTTTAGAGTAAGGACTATGTGCTGGAACTGCTAGGTACTAGAGATCAGTGAAGTTAAAATAAGTGTTTTTCCTCCCTAATGTGGAATACAGACATATGGGGACAATGACGTGGTGTGGTTCCCACAGTACAAGTGGGCTTAGGTGGCAGGCAGCATAAAGGAGGAAGAGCACATTTCATTGTGGAGAAGTAGTCTGTGTCCACTTCCAAGGAGAATGCCTAGAGAGAAGTTCAGATTTCTAGTCTGTTGAGATACATCATATTAAACAGGAAGGTGAGGAATTCAAAGATATTTCAGGCAAAGAGAAGCATTAGAAAAATTGAATTGAGTCAGGAAACAATAAGACATATTGGGGTGGACTGGGACCATCAGGAGGTAAGTTCCCAGGACAGGAGCAGGGATGGCTGAGCAGAGAGGAAGTCAGACACCAGCTCCGGGAGCCCTGGCAGGATGGTTCCTAGCAGGACCAGCAGTCCTGGTGCAGGAGGAGAGAAGACAAGTGGAGGGATTGGTTCAAGCTGGGAGGTTTGCAGGGATAGTATGGCCCAGAGGCAAGTCAACACCAGAGATCTTAGTCAGTGGAGAGCAGTTGGTGTGGTGGATCACGGGGTGCAGGCTGCATAGAGACAGAAGAGGGTACTGACAGGAGAAAAGTGAAAAGGTCCAGAGAAGCAGGTCTCCTTGAGTTTGAGAGCAGGTGGCCTGAGAAGGAGTGGGGGGAGGGGACAGACAATACCAGTGAGAGAGTGAGGTGTAGGC